GCCTGGCGCGCCTGGCGTCTTGCCCGAGGCCGGGTTTCCGTCCGCCTTGACTGCCTGCGGGACCGTGGAACCGCAGGCCCGCACACCAGTGCTCGCTCACCGGTTCGGTTCTGGTCACCGGTTGCTGTGCAATAGTATTCTCACTAAGCCAGGAACTGCCTTTCGTTCTGTTGACCTGTCTTGCAGGTCAGGAGTGTCACTTGACAAGTGGGGGTGCATGCGGGCACGTGCTAGGGCTCCTTGCTGACGTTGGGGTCTGCAGTGACTTACTCCTCCATTCTCAGTAAATGCTGAGGGAAGTTGGGAGAGGATTCAGGCCTAGCCAGACCCTTTGAGAATCCTGGAAAAAGAGAGAAATAACGATAAAAGCCTAACTTTTTAGTGCTTTGCTGTCTTAGTGTTTTGCTATGGCTGAAATCGCCTCCTAGGATCTGCATTGCTTGGGCTGCCTAACCTAGAGATTAGAATGGAGAATATGCTCCAGTCACCCGAACACTGTTGGGGGGGATTATGGAGTAGCTGTTTATGATTCCTTTCCCAAGTAATTCCATGCAACCGCATCTCTAAAGTGGACAGTTTTTTCTCCCAAAGTTTCAGGGGAGGTTGCTTCAGAACACCTGAATGGCATCCTGGCATCAGGAGGGACCAGGCGTTGCCGGAGAGCTGCAGCCAGGTCTCCCAACACAGCTGTTGCCTTTCCTTCCTCTCCCAGTCGACTTGCTGGTTTCATCTCTGCTTTCCAATACCTGCCTCAGCTTTATGAAGTAACTGCAACACTTTAAATTTAGGAACTGTCTCCTAGCCAGAATATTTTTTAATTTTGGAGCATGGATGGATTGGTTTTGTTTTTTGAGTAGGCTATATATGTAAATGTTTCTAAAAAAGAAAATGAAGTCTATACTTGTGCATATGTGATCTCAGAAGAGGCTGAAGCAAGAGGATTGCTGTGAGCAGCCTGGACTATATAGTGAGTCCCTTTCTCAAAAAACACAATCTGTTACAAGCCTGTAATCATAGCACTTGGGGGGCTGAGGCAGGATGGTAGTGGGGAATTTCAAGGCCAGCCCGAACTACATAGTGAGACCCCATCTCAAAAAAAAAAGTTAGAAAATGATATACAGTGAAAAACCAGTTTCCTTCCCTTCCTCAATGCCAGCCATCCAGTTACCCACCTTGGTGTAAATTCTGCCACATTTCTCCTAAATTTAAAACTTAGGTTCAAGCAACTATGGATTGTTGGAACCAACTGTGGTCAAAGTGTTAATTGTTTTAAATTTACTATTAGCCAAGTGTGGTGGCACGTGTCTGTAATCCCAGCACTTGGGAGACTAAGGAAGGAGGATCATTTTGAGTTCAAGGCCAGCCTGGGCTACATAGTGAGTTTGAGGCCAGCCCAAACTACAACAAGACCCTCTCTCAAGAAACCTAAATAAATAAAAAAATACATATACAAATGTATTAATCCATATGATCTAGCACTTTGTACCTTATTTTTTCAACTTGATTTAATGTATGGCTCTTCAGGTTTAAAAGGGGCCATTTTACAGTGAATGTAGTGAAGTGAATATAATCTAGGGAAAATAGGGCTGGGGATATAAGTGAGTAGCAGAGGACTTGTACAGCATGAACAAGGCCCTGGATTTGACCGATTTGCCATGGACTACAGTACCCCTAAATGGCAGGTAGTGAGTGCATGGCGGGAAGTAGCAGAAATATGAGAGGGACTTGCTTTTTTTTTTTTTAATAGACAGGGTCTTGCTACTTCACTTAAATGAGTCAGCCTCCCAGAGTGCTGGGATTACAGACCTATACCACTACACTCAGCTAGAAAAATGCTTTTTTGGGAGAAGTATATCATCTTAAGGCCATTTCATGGTTATCTGACCCTGCCTTAGCAAGGACACCAGAAAGAATGCCAAATAGGGAACTTCTAAACTGCTGGATGTGGTGACATGATCTTGTAATCTCAGTTAGATGGGAGGCTGAGGCAGGAGAATCACAAGTTCGAGGCCAGCCTGGGCAACTTAGTGAGACTTTGTCTCAAAATAAAATCAAGGTTGGGGATGTTGCTCAGTGGTAGAATGCTTGCCTGGATTCAATCTCCAGTACCACACATACACATACAGTTTAATGATCCACAAAGTAAGGGTCAATGTCAGAGGCACTTAGTGTGGAAGAGAAACAGAAGATGCAGGGAGGTAGTTTAGAAACCACCTATGAAAATAAAGTCATTCTAGCAGCATTACCTCCAGTCATATGTCAGATACTCTGTTAGGTGCAGAGGACACAGACGCTCTCCAAGTGGTTGGGAAGACACTGGTGAAAACAGGACACAATTAAAAGAGAAAGCAGCATGTGATTCAGGAGAATGTGCAGAGTGTTTCAGGAGTAACACAATGGTATTCTGTTGGGGTTTGAGCAGTCAGCTGGGTTTATTTCCATTCGGACTTGAATTTAGCTCTTTCTTGTGTCAGTCTCCATGTCCCATGTTTATTCCTCCAGCATTCAGTTGGGTGGATCATGAAATGCTGAACTGTCACCTTGAAAAAAATCTTTTCTAAGCCAGGCATGAGTGGATGGCATACCTGTCGTCCTGGCACCATGGGAGTCATGCAGGATTGCAAGGTTAATCCCAGCCTGAAGCCATTTTGCAAGACCCTGTCTTAAAAAAATAGAAAAGGAGCTGAGCTGGAATAAAAAATTCTATTGTCATTTAGTCTAAAAGTGTTATTCTTTGGATTAACCTTTACAAGTTGAGATTGGCCCATATGAAAATAAAGGTATATGACCTGGTACACAGCTATTGCTTGCAGGACTAGAGCTGTTAAATCATGATGGTCAGGGATTTGCCCTTTTGTTTTCCCTTGCAGATACAAAAACTCGAGCCACTTCTAAGAGCCTGATACCTGTTAAATCCAAAGACATCGACATTTCCAAAAATCATCATTCAGACAATGATACAACGAAAATCACCAAACCAAAACGAGAGAATAGGTGAGAGCATATTGCTAGTATTCAGTTAGAACACCCTGCAGAGGCTGTGGTGTAGCTCAGTGGTAGAATGCTTGCCCAGCAGGTATATATCCCTGGGTTTGATCCCCAACAATGCAAAAATCACAGAAGAACATCTGTGGGGAGGCTGAAGCAGGAGGATCACCATGAATTCAAGGCCAGCCTAGGCTCCATAGTGAGTTCAAGGCCAGCCTGAACTACACATAGACCCTGTCTTTAAAAAAACAGCTCAGTGGTAGATTTTGGGTGCTCTGCTGAAACCCAGTAACAGAGCCTGTGCTGTGTGCCTTGTATTTAACCACTGGTTCTTTCCTCAGAAACTCAACCCTTTGCTCCACCCTACAGCACAGTATGTGGCTGTGTGAGCCACTGCTTAGGTTCTTTGGTTTTGCTTCTCTAGGCAGATGAAAGCTGCAGAGCCCACCATTAAGAGGAACATACGAAAGAGGTGAGCATTGGAGAAACAAAATGAGCTACCTTGTTAGAGGGTTGGTTGCAGCCCCAGTATACATCAGAATTGTTCATGGGACCTGTGGGTTTTTTGTTTTTTTTTTTTTTTTTGTAGTCAGTTTTTTAAAATGCTGTAGTACAATGTCTGTAGTTCCTTGTGGGGAGTTGCTACACGTACAAATTTGTCTCAATTTGTTCTACACTGCCTTCCTTCCCACCCCACCCCGGTCCCCTTCTCATGGAGTGTTTTATGTGTTATGGTGTGGGATCCCCCTGGATTCCTGAGTGGAGTTTTCAGGGCAAAATCCACAGCCGGGTATGGTGTTAATCATTGATGGGGCAAGAATCAGTAGGTCCCAGACAAGCATGTTTTTGCCTCTGTGCCAAGATTGCTGCTGCTGACCCATTGTTAGCCTTTGAGATGGGGCGCCTCACGTGGTCAGTGACAGCAAGATGTTCTGGGGCAGTTGGGGCTGGGGAGGTCACTTAGTGGTAGAGTGCCGTTCTGGTATGCGCAAGGCCCTGAGTTCAATCCCCAGCACCACACACACACATATGCACAGTTTTAATACTGGTACTCAGGAGAGTAAGGCAAGATTATGAATTTAAGCCCAACCTAGGCTACACAGCTAAACTCTTATCTCAAAACAAAAAAATCTTGGGACCAGGGATTTAGCTGAGTGGCACTGCACCTGCCTCACAAGCACAAGGTCCTGAATTCTATCCCTGGTACTGGGGGAAAAAAAATCTAGGCAACAAAAACTTCAAAATGAAGTTTCAATATTGATGATGATGGCAATGGCTATTTTTTGTTTGCTCTTTTGGTTTTTTAAAACAGGGCCTTGCTACATAGTCCAGGTTGACCTTGAACTCACTACATAGCTCAAGTTGGCCTCAAACTTGTGATCCTTCTGCCTGAGCCTCCTGAGCCCTGGGAGTATAGGTGTACACCTCCATATCCAGCAAAAGTGACTATTTACTATATGTTTACCATATGTCAGTAGCTGGGCTAAGCATTATGCATGGGTGTTTTCTTTCATTCTTCATGCTAATATTATGAGATATGAATATTAATGCTTGAAATAAGGCAACAGCCAAGTGATACAACTCACTGAAGGTCATATATCCCATATTATGAGATATATGAGATATTACCTTAATTCTAGAAATTCAAAAACAGAGCCTCAGGGAAGTTATACAAGTTACTGCTGTGTAACAGAGCCAGAATTCAGATCTGTTAGAGTAGGTATGTAATCTACACTCTAGACTCCTCTACTTCTCCATGTAAGTACAACTATTGTTACAGCTGCAGGCCATCAAGGGAACAAAAATCAGAGGAAGAGCTGAAAGATAAGAACGAGCTCTTAGAGACTGTCAACAAGCAGTTGCACCAGAAGTTGGTTAAAACTCAGGTGAGACCCTGACACAGTAGTACACACCTGTAATCCCAGGAGGCTGCGGAAGGATTATGAGTTCCAGGCCAGCCTGGGTTACATACTTAAAGTGAGACCCTGTCTCAAATAAAAATGAAAAGAAAATAAGGAAGGAGCAGACTTAGGTAAGAGACAGACCTCTGTTCTCCACACCTGGAATCTCATGAGAGGAGCAAGTTGCTTGGGGCAGAGAAGCATCCAGGCTCGGACTGCGCCTGTCCGGGAGCACAGTCGAGGAGACTCAGCACTGCTGGGCAGTTTTGTGGTTTGTTGGTTTGTTTGTTTGAGGGGTTTGTTTTTTGTTGGAGTTTTGTTGTTGTTGTTTTGGGGTGTTTTGTTTGTTTGTTTGTTTTGGTACCAGGGATAGAAGTCAGGTCCTTGCACTTGCAAGGCAGGTAGTGGCACCACTGAGCTAAATCCCTGGCCCTGGTGGGCAGTTTTTGATATCTCTGTGTGACGCTCCCAACAGGGAGAGCTGAAGGACCTAACCCAGAAGGTGGAGCTGCTGGAGAAGTTTCAGGACAACTGTTTAGCAGTTTTAGAGCGCAAAGGTCTTAACCCAGGTGAGAGACTGCCTCCACATAGGGAGCACAAGCGCCCTTCCTGGATGGACTTCAAAAGCCCTACATGAGCTGGCCCAGTGGGTACAAGAGATGCTTGGCAAAGTCCTAAAGGTTTTTGGGAGCTTCTCTTGGTTCTCATGGGCTGTTGATTTCTGCCTAACCCCGAAGGTTGTGGAGAGAAGGAAGCTTCTCTCTCTTACCAGGCACTCTATGGCACTCATCTGGGGCTGGTAGGTATGACCTGGCAGACAGACTAGGAAAACTGTCTCTGTAGAGGGAAGTGAAGCCTACTGGTAACTTAGCCATGTAGGGGCTGAAGGGAGAGAGTGAGGATGGGTGAATGAGATAGATTGCTGTCATTCAGGGGTTCCTAAATCTGACTAATCAGCAATATCACAGTGGCTAAAATGTCACTCCTGGCTAAAGAGGTGTAGTGGTAAAGTGTGTGCTTAGGATAATCAAAAAGAAAAGTAACCCTGGCGCAGACACAGCCTGAGCAGTCAGTAACAAAGAGGAGAGTGGGAGGAGGAGTTGCCTGAAGACTGTTACAGCCCTAAACTATGAGGAACCAGAGAGTGCCCAGAAAAGTGGAATTACAGAATACTGACTTCCAGTGTGAACGGCTGACCTGTGTGTTCTACTGTGTGTGTGTGTGTGTGTGTGTGTGTGTGTGTGTGTGTGTGTGTGTGTTTTCAGGGGGGACAAGAATTTGAAACAAGTGCCTTACCACTGAGCTATGTCCCCAACTCCAGTTTTTTTGTCTTGTTTTTTGGTACCGGGGATCGAACTCAGGGGAACCACTAGCTAAATCCCCGGCCCTCCAACTCTAGTTTAGATACTCCATAGTTGCCATAATCATTGTGTACAATTTTATTATGTGCATATAAACTGTTGGTTTTTTTGGTTTTGCATTTGTTTGCTTTTTGTGATACTAGGGATTGAACCCATGTTCTTTGCACTGAGCTACATTCCTAGACCTTTGTTTTTGAGACAAATTTATGATCTTCCTGCCTCAGCTTCCCCAGTGCTGGGATTAAAGGTGCACACCACCATGCCCAGATTTCATTTTATTTATTTATTTATGGGGGGGGTCAAGATTTTTTTTTTTTTTTTTTTTTTTTTTTTTTTTTTTGTGATTTAACTTGGGGCCCTTTGTTTGCA